CGGCGCCGTTTTGGTTATCGGCGCATCTTCGGTTTTTCGGCGCCCTCTGGGGTTTCGGTGCATATTTGGTTTTCGGCACCCCTTTTGGTTTTCAGCTTCTCTTTGGTTTTCGGCGCCCTTTTCGTTTTCGGCGCTCTTTTGGTTTTCAGCGCCATATTGTTTTTTCGGCGCCCTTTTGGTTTTCGGCGTTTCTTTTGTTTTCCGGCGCCCCTAGGGTTTTCGGTGTTTCTGTTGGTCTTCGGCGCCCCCTTGTGTTCGGCGCCCCTTTGGTTTGGGGGGCCCTTCGGCTATCTGCGCGCCTTGTGTTTTTGATGGCGCCCTTTGGCTTTCGGCGCCGTTTTGGTTATCGACGCATCTTTGGTGTTTCGGCGCCCTGTTGAATTTCGGTGCATATTTGGTTTTCGGCGCCCCTTGTGGTTTTCAGCTTCTCTTTGGTTTTTGGCGCCCTTTTCGTGTTCGGCGCTCTTTTGGTTTTCAGCGCCATGTTGTTTTTTGGGCGCCCTTTTGGTTTTCGGCGTTTCTTTTATTTTTTTGCGCCCCTAAGGTTTTCGGTGTTTCTGTTGGTCTTCGGCGCCCCTTGGATGTTCGGCGCCCCTTTGGTTTTCGGCGCCCTCTTGGTTTTCGGTGCCCCTGTGGTTTTTGGTGTCCTTTTGGTTTTCGGCGCCCTCTTGGGTTCCGGCGCCCCTTCGGTTTTCGGCGCATCTGTTTGTGTTCGGCGCTTTGTTGGTGTTCGTCCTCCTTCAGTTTTCTACGCCCCCGTAGTTTCCGGCGCTCCTTTGGTTTTCGGCGCCCTTTCAGTTTTCGGCGCTCCTTTTGGTTCTCGGCGCCCTTGTGGTTTTCGGTGCTCCTTTGGTTTTCGGCGTTCCTTTTGGTTTTTCGGCGCAGTTTTGGTCTTCGGTGCCCTTTTGGTTTTCGGCGCTCCCTTGGTTTTCGGCACTGCTTTGGTTTTCGGTTCCCTTTTGGTGCTTGGCGACCCTTTGGTTGTCGGCTCACCATTGGTTTTCGGCGCCCCTTTGATTTCCGGCGTCCTTTTCAAGTTTGGCGTCCCTTTGGTTTTTGGCGCCCTTTTGGATTTCGGTGTTCTTTGGTTTTCGGCGCCCTTCTGGTGTTCGGCGCTGCTCTGATTTTCGGCGCTCTGTTGGTCTTCGGCGTCTCTTTGCTTTTCGGCGTTCGTTAGGTGTTCGGCGCTCCTTTTGTTTTGCGGCGCCCCTTTGCTTTTCTGCGCTCTGTTGTTTTTTCGGCGCTCCTTTGGTCTTCGGCCCCCTTTTGGTTGTCGGCGCGCTTTTGGTTTTCGGTACCTCTTTGGTTTTCATCGCTCCTTTGGGTCTCGGTGATCCTTCGGTTTTCGGCGCATCTTTGATTTTCGGCGCCGTATTGGCTTTCGGTGCCTTTCGGTTTCCAGCGTTTCGTTAGTTTTCGGCGCGCTCTGGTTTTCGCACCCTTTGGGTTTTCGGTAGTTTTTTGGTTTTCGACGCTTTGTTGGTTTTCGTCGCTCTTTTGGTCTTCGACGCTCCTTCCTTTTTTCCTTGAGCCAAAGTGGGGGGGCTTCCAAGCCCCCCCCTTTAGCCCAAAAGGGGGGGAGGGGGGGGGGGCTTCCGGCAGGGGGTGTTCAAAGGGGACGGGGGTAGCTAAGCCCCCCCCCCCCTTGGAAACGAACGGGGGAGAGAGGGGAGCTTCCCGAGCGCGAAAGGGGGGTAGCTTCGGAGGGGCAGAAAAAAAAGAAGGGGCGGGGGGTTCTGGCAGGGGAGGTTCAGAGAGGGGGGCATAGCGAAGCCCCCCCACTCTTTGGACAGGGAGGGGGGAGGGGGGGGTAGCTTCAGGAGCACGAGAGAGAGGAGGGGTGGGGGTAGCCTCCGAGGGGCGGAGAAAAGAAGGGCGGGAGGGGGGGCTTCTGGCAGGGCAGGTCCAGGGGGGGGGGGAAGTTCAGGGGGGACCCCCCCCTTTGGGAGTTTATCACGGGCGCGCTCTCTCACATCACTGCCGTGGCCGTGAGATCACCCAGCTGTCCATGGCCCGTTCTCATCATTGCCCTTGTAGTTCGTATGACCAGTGCTATTATTGCTCCTTGCCTCTTACTGCGATGATTGTTGCGCGTCCTATTATTTTGCGTATGCAAGCTGTTGTTCTCAGTTGCCTTATGTTTGTTATACACGTGCTTGTTGTGGCTGCTCTTCTCTTCTTAGTACTCGTATCATGGTTCTCATGTGTCGTCTTCTTAGTACCATGAGTATCCTCCCTATTCGTGTTATCAGCCTTATTCTTATCATTATGTTTAGGATTCGTGTTCTTCCTCTTTCGACGCTCTCCCTGCCCCACCCCCCCTCGTCAGCGCACATTCCTCGGGCCATGATGCGCCGACTCCCCTCCGAAATACCCAGGAGATCCCACGGCGCACAAACAAAAATCAAACCTCGCGACAAATCGCCAACGGAGCCCCAGACCCCATCCTTCTGCTCGACGCCTCGAGCTGGGATCGATCTGTGAGGGCCCAGGGGCCCGAAGCCAGGGGAGCACGCCTGGCGCGAAGCACCCGAGACGCCAGGATCTCAGGGCCCCGACCCCCTCGCATGGCGGGCCCGAGTTCGGGAGGCAGGGCTGGGAGCGGCAGGCCCGAGTTCGAGAGGCTCGAGGCAGGAGCAGCAGCCACTGACCCAGATCCCCGGCGTCGTGACTTTCGCACAACGTGGACCCCGAATGGAGGTGTCTGGGTCTGCTCCCCGGGACCAGTTTCTCACCCCGCCGGCAGTTTTGCTGACGGCCCCGAGGGCCAGCATGAGGGCATCCAGAGGCGGAACAGAAACCAGAAACCTCCCGGTCGTGATTTTTGTCAGTACAAGAGGGTGTCTCTGCACGAGCGAAATGGGCACGGAAAGAAAGAGTACAATGCCCAACAGCGGATCATGTTCATTTTGAGCAGGACTCGCTGTCCACGCCGCCGCGGCCTGTGTCCGTTCGAGACAGAAGGCCGCCTGCCCAACAGCGGCCGCTGCTGGTTTGGGACAGCATTTGTTGTTGGGCATTGTACCCATTCTTTCCGTACAGTGAGCGGCTTGAACAAGGAACGCTTACTTTTCAAAAGGGGCTCGGTCGTTCCTTAGGCTTGCATGCGTTATTTATCGTTCCCTATGTGGTATTCCTTGGGATAAAAAGGGGCGTCGTTCCTTATTTGTCGTTCCTTAGGCCAGGCCGATGACGGTACCCATTTCGGGCGTCCAAGGTGTCTGGGGGAGCGGGGGCGAGCGCTGCTCGGGAGCGCGGGACCCGGGCGCGGCCGGCGAGAGGCCCCCGGGCCCGAAGACCAGCGGCCTCCCCTGCGGAGGCCCGCGGAGCAGCCCCTGCGGAGGCCCCTGGCGAAGGCCTCTGGAGACTCGAACCAAAGCAGCCCGGAGCCCCCTGGGGAGGCCCCGGGGAGGCCCAGAGCAGGCCGGGGTCGACTAGACGTAAGAGTGACATTTCGCCGGAGTGACCTTCGGTGCGGGCACAGATGGGTCCCCGGAGGGCTGAAAACGAAGCAGGAGCAGCGGCTTGCGCGCCCAGGTTTGGTCCCCCCGCGGCCCCCAAAAAACCGCGCACCAAAGGTCACTCTTACCCAGGGTCACTCTTGCGTGTAGCCGACGGGGGCGGCCTTCTACACGGAGTCGAGGGGCCTGCTTCTGGTTCACCCAACAGGGGGTCCAGCTGACCGGGGGTGGTGCAACAGATTTCTGCTTCGCCGCCGACGAGAGGAGGGAAAAGAGGGGCGACCTGTCCTCTACACAGCAAAGCGGATTGGGCTGCTCGAGGCCTGTTGCAGCAATCGCGGGCTGAGATGGGTTGTCGTGCAGAACGAGAAGCCCAAAACGTAATTACGAAAGTGCGCCCCTCAGAAGCTTGCTCTGCCTCAGGAGCTTGGAGTACAAGAGTGCAGAACTGCTCGAAGCATGTAGCGACCGAATTGGAATACCAGAACACACGTGATAGCGGCAGAATTAGGCCACCGTGCAAACAGATGAGGAAGCAGGCTATTTCCTTCTCTGTCCCGTGTAAAGTTGTGGGCGGGTGGCTTTTGAATCGCCGGCACCTTCACCACGGCCAAAAGACGGCTTCCTTGCCGAAGCGCCCTTCGGATCTGCCCGAGATTGTGAAGCATTTGGGGTTGCAACGGATGACGCTACACTAGATCCCCCTAGAGTGTGAGCATTCGCGTCATCTGCTGAGTCAGCTCGCAGCGCGCCCGACATTAAAGACGGAGCAGTGCTAACGGCGCGCCGATCAGACGTTGTGAGTCCAGACGGCGGGGGGGGAATCAGCGCACGGAGGTAGAGTAGGTGCCAGAGCGGGCTCTGCAACAAGACTTCCCCCAAAGTCTGCGCGTAAACCGGCTGCACCTGCTGGATGTGGTATGGCCTCGACGCGAGGCTGAGGGCCATCAGGAAAATGAGGAGGAACTGGGCAATCAGGCGTCGCTTGCTTGGCAGCCTGGCGCTTCTCCTTCTTACGTAAAAATTGGGCTCGGCGCGCGGCTCGAGGTTTCTCCAACAGTTGAACACACAGGGGCATCGGAGAATCCAGCTTTGCCGTTCACTCCTTATGCCGAGTCGCTCCCGCAGAGGGCCGCACAATCGCAGACATCACAGCGCCCGCCACCGCAGCAGCCACAGCAGCAACAGTGCGCCCAGGCGGGCGCTCCCGGATCGCCGCCTGCACAGCCGCCGCCACAAGGGAGAGGCCACCAGCAGCCGTGGCGCTCATCCATGTCTAGCAACGGAAGGCCCGGAGGGGGGTGGGCAGCTGAACACTTGCGATCGCTTGAGCCACGAGGAGGTGCACCTTCCGTGCCCCTCTGGGGCCCGAAAGGGGGCCCTCCGCGGGCACGAAACGTGCGCGTTTCTTCGGGCGGAGGGCGGCCTGAGCCACAGTGGGGTGCACCTCTCGTGGCCTTCAGGGGCCCGAGAAGGGGCCCTCCGCGGGCGCGAGGGGTGCACGGTTCTTCGGGCGGAGAGCGGCCGCGTGGATGGCAGGAGACCACGGCTCGCCCGAGAGCGCTCCTGCGGACACGCCCGGCTTCAGGCGCTCTCGCGGCCGTTCGCCGCCGTCGGTCGTCGCCGCCGTTGTCACCGCCGCCGGTCGGTCGTCGTCGTCGTCGTCGTCGCCACAGGCGCCGCGGGTCGTCGCCTCACAGCTTCGACAATGGCATTGCTGAACATTTTGTCTATGTGAAGCGTTTCAACAAGGGCTTTGCCTTCGGGGATCGAAGAAGTTGTCGTCTCTTCCTCGGCGGAAGGCGGCGGAAGGGCGGCGGAGGTAAAATACGCACAAGTCTAAAGATGAAAACGTTTTTGGGCTCATGGTTTCCAGAATCCGCCATCTGTCGTTTTCGCGACGGGGGGAACAGGCACAAGATTGAAACATGTTTCGACGAGTGTCGAATACATCTTCGAAGATGCAGTAACTGTGCGACCTGCCTCGTGCACAACTTCAAGGAGGAATAGTTCCCCACGGTGCCCGCCACGGTGGTCGCTCTGATTAGCCCGACCCCCTATGGGTACGGCTATGGGGCGCTTGGGCGAGGCATTGTTTTTCCCGCAATGGGGCGCAGTGGCCCCGAGTTTCCGTGATACCTTGATGAAATATGAAATGACAGATTGTTTGATCGATTACCATGGCGGTGTTCAAGAACAGTACCCTCATCCAGTAAGCGATGTCCATCCGTAGTTGGCCATCGTCAGGAATGGTACTCTGAAAATTCCGCTGACCTTCCCAAAAAAGGCGCACCAGGTGCATACTTCGTATACCCCTTCAAGGACAGTCTTCTTTGATATGGCCTGGCATTGGATGCTGCGCCTGGGATCGGGGGGAAAGCCGCAGCTCATCCGCTGGAATAGGTTCGGAGCTAACTCTTGTCGGCATCTGCTGATGTCCGAAGAACAGAATCGGCATGAACATAATTTCTCGGAGGTCTTCGGGTATTTCCTTCATTGGCGCTGGGCTCCCCCTGGCGGCGCCTCCTGCTCCTTTCCTTGCGCGTCCCGCCCGCCAGAAAGGGGGGCCAGCGCCAATCCGCGGACTTCCGAGAAGTTATGCCCATGCCGATGTTTGTTCCTCTGGATGACTGTGATCCTCTTTCTCTTCGTTCTCCTCCCCGCGTGCTCAACAGATGTTCGGCATGCTCCGCGTGGCTCACGATCCTCCCACGCATCCTAGAGGTGATTATCCGGCCGAGCATGCAATACAGTCGGGGCCCTGAAGAAGGAACCCTTTTCGTTGGGGAGGGACTCCGCGTTCCTGAAGTGTTTCGCAGCTTGCCTCAGGTTGTCCTTATGCTTCCGATCGGAAATCGAAGTTTAACTCATGGAAAGTATAGCCGAAGTGCAGTATCCCCAAACAGGGCTTTTAGACCCACTGCGGTTTCCAAGGTCGATTGCGTGCCCGTCCAGTGCGGGCTGGCATGGCATGTTAAAACATGCCTCCTCCTCCTCCTCCTCCTCCTCCTCCTCCTCCACCTCCTCTTCATCCCGAACGGCATCTCGGAGCCCAGAGTTGCGAGGATGTCTCCAGCGTAACGGGCTGGACCACCTCGCGCGCGGCATTTCGGACCCCAGAGTTGCGACGATGTCTCGGGCGAAACGTGCTGCGAGGAAGTCTCAGGCGAAACGGGCCGGACCACCTCGAGCGCGGCGTCTCAGAGCTCCGAGTTGCGGGGGCCTCCTGGGGCCTCCTGGGACCTCCTGGTGACCTCCTGGGGCTTCCTCCTGGGCCTCCTGTGGCCTCCTGGACCCCACCTGGGGCTTCCTGAAGCCTCTTGGGGCTCCCAGGGGGGGATGTCTAACATGTGGCCGTCGGGCCCCCCCAAAATGGGAGGGGGGCACACGAGCAGGACAAGTCAACGAATCGACACTGGATTTGTATGAACTTGACACGTTCTGATAGGGGCCTCCTGGGGCCTCCTGGGAGCCTCCTGGGAATCTCCTGCGGACCCCTGGGGCCTGTCCTGGGCGTCCTGCGGCCTCCTGAAGCTCTCTGAAGCCTCCTGGGGCTCCCAGGGTCCCAGGGGGGATATGTAACATGTGGTCTTCTGGGCCCCCAGGCTGGACCACCTCTTGCGCAGCATCTGAGAGCTCAGAGTTGCGAGAATGTCTTGTGCGAAACGGGCCGGACCACCTTGCGCACGGCATCTCAGAGCTCAGAGTTGCGAGGATGTCTCAGGCGAGATAGGCCGGACCATCTCGCGCAGGGCATCTCGGAGCCCAGAGTTGCGAGGATGTCTCCAGTGTAACGGGCTGGACCACCTCGCGCGCGGCATTTCGGACCCCAGAGTTGCAACGATGTCTCGGGCGAAACGTGCTGCGAGGAAGTCTCAGGCGAGACGGGCCGGACCACCTCGAGCGCGGCGTCTCAAAGCTCCGAATTGCGGGAGCCTCCTGGGGCCTCCTGGGACCTCCTGGTGACCTCCTGGGGCTTCCTCCTGGGCCTCCTGTGGCCTCCTGGACCCCACCTGGGGCTTCCTGAAGCCTCTTGGGGCTCCCAGGGGGGGATGTCTAACATGTGGCCGTCGGGCCCCCCCCAAATGGGGGGGGGGGGGGCCACACGAGCAGGAAAAGTCAACGAATCGACACCGGATGTGTATTAACTTGACACGTTCTGATAGGGGGCCTCCTGGGGCCTCCTGGGAGCCTCCTGGGAGTCTCCTGCGGACCCCTGGGGCCTGTCCTGGGCGTCCTGCGGCCTCCTGAAGCTCTCTGAGGCCTCCTGGGGCTCCCAGGGTCCAGGGGGGATATGTAACATGTCGTCTTCTTGGCCCCCAGGCTGGATTACCTCTTGCGCAGCATCTGAGATCTCAGAGTTGCGAGAATGTCTTGTGCGAAACGGGCCGGACCACCTTGCGCACGGCATCTCAGAGCTCAGAGTTGCGAGGATGTCTCAGGCGAGATGGGCCGGACCACCTCGCGCAGGGCATCTCCGAGGTTAGAGTTTCGAGGATGTCTCAGGCGGGTTCTCAGGGTCCCAGGGAGGATATGTAACATGTGGTCTTCTGGGCCCCCAGGCTGGACCACCTCTTGCGCAGCATCTGGGAGCTCAGAGTTGTGAGAATGTCTTGTGCGAAACAGGCCGGACCACCTTGCGCACGGCATCTCAGAGCTCAGAGTTGCAAGGGTGTCTCAGGCGAGACGGGCCGGACCACCTCGGGCAAGGCTTCTCAGAGCTCAGAAGTTCGAGCATGTCTCAGGTGAAACGGGCCGGACCACCTCTCGCGCGGCATCTCCGAGGTAAGAGTTTCGAGGAGGTCTCAGGCGAAACGGGCCGGACCCCCTCGCGCAAGGCATCTCAGAGCTCAGAGTTTCGAGGATGTCTCAAGCGAAACGGCCCGGACCACCTCTCGCACGGCACCTCGGGGCTCAGAGTTTCGAGGATGTCTCAAGCGAAACGGCCCGGACAACCTCTCGCGCGGCGTCCCGGAGGGCAACTTTTCGAGGATGTCTCAGGCGAAACGGCCAATCCCGGCCAACTCAGAAACGAGAGTTGTGAGGATGTCTCGAGCGAAACGGCCAAAATCATAAAATTTGTGTGAGGATGTCTCTGCTCCGACTTCCCTCGGCCGGAGTTAGCTTCTATCACAACAGCGCCCCGTTCAGCAAGCCGTTTGGGGAAAAATCCTGTTTGGGGAACCCTGTCTCGGAGCCCAGAGTTGCGAGGATAACCCAGGTCGCACCTGGTCGACGAGTAAGCTGTCGGGTCGGCAGTGTGAGAGGCTCCACCGCCATGCTGTGAACTCAGAAGCAACTTTAAGAGGAAGCGGGGGAGGGCGCGGAAGCGGGGGGGCATGTCGCGATGGTTCCCTCGGAGGTACGCGGCGCACGTCTCAAAAGAAAAATCGCGACGTCGGATGTCTGGGAAGGGCGGAAGGCAGTGCGCGCATGACGGATGCTGAGGCGGCAGAAACGACGACGGCGGGGGCGGGGGGGCGGAGGCAGAGGCGCAGCAGCGGGAGGCGGGAGGCGGGAGGAGAGAGGAGGGAAGAGGAACCAGGCGGGAAGTGGGAAGAAGGAGGCGGGAGAAGGAATGAGAGAGGTTGTGATTGGAGCTCTTGTGCTACGAAACGTCTCAGGCAGAATGGGCCAGACCATCTCGCGCGCAACATCTTCGAGCCTCGCATTGCGAGGATGGCTCAATCGAAACGGGCCGGACCACCTCGCGAGCGACATCTTGGATCTCAGTATTGGAGGGATGTCTCAAACGAAACGGGCTGGACAATCTTTCGGGCACGTTTTGACAAGTCCGCATCGCACTCGCTTCCCGTTAGGTCCTCTCCTGCAACTCCCTTCTTCTCCCTCCTCCTCCTCCTCCTCCTCCTGCTCCTCCCCATCCTCCTGCCTGCTCCCTCATGCACATCATCCGCCTGCTCCTTCTCCCTTCCATCTCCTCCTCCTCCTCCCCCTCCTCCTCCTCCCCCTCCACCTCCTCTTCATCCCGAACGGCATCTCGGAACCTAGAGTTGCGAGGATGTCTCCAGCGTAACAGGCTGGACCACCTCGCGCGCGGCATCTCGGACCCCAGAGTTGCGACGATGTCTCTGGCGAAACGTGGTGCGAGAAAGTCTGAGGCGAAACGGGCCGGACCACCTCGAGCGCGGCGCCTCAGAGCTCCGAGTTGCGGGGGCTCTCTGGGGCCTCCTGGGACCTCCTGGTGACCTCCTGGGGCTTCCTCCTGGGCCTCCTGTGGCCTCCTGGACCCCACCTGGGGCTTCCTGAAGCCTCTTGCTTGGGGGGCACAAGAGCAGGAAAAATCAACGAATCGACACCGGATGTGTATTAACTTGACACGTTCTGATAGGCGTCCTCCTGGGGCCTCCTGGGAGCCTCCTGGGAATCTCCTGGAGACCCCTCGGGCCTGTCCTGGGCGTCCTGCGGCCTTCTGGTGCCTCCTGGGGCCTCCTGGGGACCTCCTGGAGCTTCCTCTTGGGCCTCCTGTGGCCTCCTGAACTCCACCTGAGGTTTCCTGAAGCCTCTTGGGGCTCCCAGGGGGGATATATCTAACCTGTGGCCGCTTGGGCCCCTCCTCAAAATGGAGGGGGGGCACAAGAGGAGGAAAAATCAACGAATCGACACCAGCTGTGTATTAACTTGACACGTTCTGATAGAGGGCCTCCTGGGGCCTCCTGGGGGCCTCCTGGGCATCTCCTGGGGGCCCCTGGGGCCTGTCGTGGGCGTCCTGCGGCCTCCTGGACCTCTCTGGCGCCTCCTGAGGCTCGCAGGGTCCCATGGACGAAATGTAACATGTGGTCTTCTGGGCGCCCAGGCTGGACCACCTCTCGCGCAGCATCTGAGAGTTCAGAGTTGCGAGAATGTCTTCTGCGAAACAGGCCGGACCACCTTGCGCACGGCATCTCAGAGCTCAGAGTTGCAAGGATGTCTCAGGCGAGACGGGCCGGACCACCTCACGCAGGGCATCTCAGAGCTCAGAAGTTCGAGGATGTCTCAGGCGAAACGGGCCGGACCACCTCTCGCGCGGCATCTCCGAAGTCAGAGTTTCAAGGATGTCTCAGGCGAAAGGGGCCGGACCACCTCGCGCAAGGCATCGCAGAGCTCAGAGTATGTCTCAGGCGAAACGGCCTGGACCACCTCTCGCACGGCACCTCGGGGCTCAGAGCTTCGAGGATGTCTCAAGCGAAACGGCCCGGACCACCTTTCGCGCGGCGTCCCGGAGCGCAACTTTTCGAGGATGTCTCAGGCGAAACGGCCAATCCCAGCCAACTCAGAAACGAGAGTTGTGAGGGTGTCTCAAGCGAAACGGCCAAAATCATAAAATTTGTGTGAGGATGTCTCTGCTCCGCGTTCCCTCGGCCGGAGTTAGTTTCTATCACAACAGCACCCCGTTCAGGCAGCTGTTTGGGGAAAAAGCGGCCTCGTTCCTTATTTTGGGCTCCTTAGGTCAAGCCCCCGACCGGTTTTCGAACTAGAAGAACGATATGAGCACAAGTTTCCGGAGCTCCGCGCGGACCCCCGAGAGGTCATGCTTCTGTAGTTGTTTGCTCCTCCTTGCAGGTCCTCAGCGCGATTGCCCGGCCAAGCTTGCAGTAATGGAGGATGACGATTAATAAATGACCGGGGGTCGTGTTCACGCGGCGGTGCCCGGGATGACGATTAGAAAAAACCGGCCGCGGGCTGGATAACTATTTTTGTTATCGTTCTCTTCCAGTCGGAAAATTATGCAGAAATAGCAGAAAATTATGTTTTAATCGTTCTCTTCCATTTTTTATTCATCGTCATCCCGCACTACGTGTGTACAAGGTTGTTCTTGGTGTCTCATTCAACTGCCGCCCCTAGAGTCCTAGTTCCATTTCAGTCGCCACCGTCGTCGTCGCCAGCATCACCGCCACCATCAGTGCTATCAGCATGCACGTCGTCACTGACGCCGCTCCTCACGATCACCACCATCAGCACTTATCGCGCTCTACCGTTTGAGCCTTAGCAAATGTCCCTCCTCCCCGTCATCTTCTTGCTTCTCCTCCTACTTCCGTTTCCCCCATAGTCATCCTCCTCTGGCATTTGCCCACCCACGTGTCCTCATCCTCCTCATCATCAGCATCATCAACATCACCGTCATCATCATCATCATCATCATCATCATCATCATCATCATCATCAGCATCAGCATCAGCAAGCATCATCATCATCATCATCATCATCATCATCATCATCATCATCATCATCATCATCATCATCATCATCATCATACTCATCAGACTCATCATCTTCTTCCGCATCCGTCCACATCTTTTCCCCCTCCACCCACCCACCTTCTCACGCGCTCCGTGCGCCGCACCCCCCACCCACCCACCCTGCGGTCTTCGATGCGAGTGGCCTCTTGTCAACACGGCATCCGTATCCTGGCCCAGAATTTCACGCTTGGTGATCGTTCCCTTCGGGGTACGGAGTAGCATCTTTCACGAGATTTTTGACCCAGAGATCGGTTGTGTCTCTCACTACCTCCTGCTTCCCCCGACTCGGCGGCGAGCCCGGGAGGGAAGCGGGAAGGGGTGGGTCTTCTCAAAAAGCTCGGAAGCCCCCCAGCTTTCTGAGAAGTTGTCTGAGCCCTCCCCGAAAACGCAGAAAGCTTTCTCAGGAGGCCGGAGCGCTTCTGAGAAGTCCCGCCGCCTACGATCCGATACGATACGATTCGATTCGCTGGCTGGGGCCGCGATTCCAATTCGATGCGATCCGGCTCTATTCACCGGCGTCGGACAGGGCCAGCAGACGCGGGGCGCGGCGATTCGATGCCGATCCGATTCGGGACGATTCGCTGGCGATCCGATCCGCTCTCCATTGCCTTCGCACCCCCTCGCTCGCCGCCGACCGACCCCCACTGCAGCCCCACGTTCGGCGACCAGTGCGGCGCGAATGCCGAGGGGGACGACAAGGCCGGCCTCCTCCTCCCCCTCCTCCTCCTCCTCCTCCTCCTCCTCCTCCTCCTCCTCCTCCTCCTTGGTCCTCCTTCGCCTCCTCCTCCTCATCCTCCTCAGGCCTCCTTCTCCTCCTCCTCCCTCTCCCCATCCTCCCCCTCCTCCCCCTCCTTCCGTAGCCATTTTGATTAAAGCAATTTGGGCTCAAGACATCTCCCACTGGGGGGTCAGAGCCCATGCGCGTCGCCCCGGGTCGCCCCAGACCGTCCATTGTTCTTGGAAGTCCGCGTGCCGCGAGATGCTTCTGGCCGGCGCCGCGATGGCTGCCCGCCGAGGCCGGCCCTCCATGCCCCCGCGCGCAGGCTCGGCTATGCGGCCCGAGTCGGCCGCCGTCCTCGCATGGGCGACGTGGCCGCGCTTGCTGCTGCTGCTGCTCATCGGCTTGGGCTCGACCTGCACCACCAGGCGCCTGGCCGGACGCCCAGGATTTTCCCGCAGCTGGCGGCAGAGGCCATAGACATGATGATCATGATGATCGTCGGGCGGCCGAGCCCGAGCCGGTGCTTGAGCGCGCCGCCGCCGCCGAAGACGCGCATGCGACGCGCATGCGTACGGCGAGTGCTCCGTGGGCTCGGTGCCGGCTGCGTGGTGCTGGATGCCCGCCGCGCTGCCGCCCCCAGCCGCCGCCGCGCCGATGTGGTGGCGCCAGAGCTGCCGTCGGGGTCGCCTCCGCCTCCTGGTGCTGCTCAGGCCTCGTGTCTACGCCCTGCGGCTCCGGATGGTGCTCCGGAAGGTGTCCTGGATAGTGCTCGCCGCTCGCCGACTCGTTGGAGCTCTGGATCTCGCTCCGGAGGGCGCTCATGCCGCAGGAGATGACGGGCTCCCCGACGATGTTGCAAATGCCGCCGAGGACCGGCCTGAATTTGCTGATGGCTCCGTGGACGAGACTCTTCGCGATTCTGACAGCACGGTCGACTCCGCAGAGTTTGCGCATCCGCGGTCGCTAGGCGCGCGGGTTCCCGATCGTGCTCCTGGTGATGTTCATGCTCAAGCGCTGCGCCCCGCTGCTCTGGATTGTGCTCCCGACTGTGGTTCGGATCGCGCTCGCTGCCTCGCTGGAGCTCCGGATCGTGCTCCGGCTGGGGCGCATGCCGAGGGCGGTGTCGGGCTCCCTGGCGATGCTGCAGACACCGCAGAGGACCGGCCAGAAGCCGCTGATGACTCTGCTGCTCCTCCGGAGGCTGCTCCGCCTACGGCTGCTCTGCCTCGGCCGTCGGCGAGGCAGAGGGTGCAGACCGTGGGGCCTGCCACGGACATCCAGGCGGCGGAGGGAGTGGTCCGCCCCCTATACGCAGCAGCTGTCCAGGATAGAGGCCGTGCTGTACTGGAGGGAGAGGGCGACCCCGCTCTCCCCGCTGGTGCAGGGCTGCGGGCTCCGGGCGTGCGAGCTGCGGCGCCCAGTGGGCGAGGCCGTGGGGGCGGCGGGGGGCTCTGGACCCGCCTCCTGGGGCTCTGCAGGACCCCAAGAGGCTGCTGCGGTGCCTCCTGCTGTATGCTCGGCACAGCCTCCGACGACTGCGTGCAGGTAATCGTGCTGCTGCGTATCTCTATGTGTGTGCTGCGCGGGTGCGGAGTCGGATAGGGGGGAGGATCGGAGGGGTGGATCGGGATGGAGGCGTTTCTCCGCGCGGCCCGTGCACTCTCGCGAGCATTACTCGACTCGATGAGGGCCTGCGAGCGCGAGCGAAGAGGGAGTAGGGCCCAGGTCTGCGTCCCAGCCTTTCCCTCCCCTCGTTTTCATCATCATGTCCTCCCTCTCTCCCTCGCTCCCTCTTGCCGAGCGTCCAGTGCCTGGCCGTGCCGTGGCGGTCACTCCTCGTGCGATTCGAGCCGATGACGGCCAAGGTCTGGTGCTGGATATGGGGCGGGGATGTTGCAGGACCGTTGGGTGAAAGATTGATTGCGATCCTTCCCTAGGCAGGCCTTGCCACCCGTGCCGACGTGTGCCGTCTGCCCCGTCGCAGGGTCACGAACAGGAGGTTTTCTGGTTGCGTCCCAGCCGTCTTCTCTACTCCTCGTCTATTCTTACCATGATCCCTCCCTCCCTTCGCCCCTCCTCCCAAGTGCCCTGGACTGGCACAGCATGCCACTGTCGCCACTCTTAGCTGTGTCGTCTAGCTGCCAGTAATAACGGGTAGGGGGTGACTGATGAGGTTTATGGAGGGTTTGGGCTCCTTGCTTCGGATCGACGCGTTCCGTCCGCTCTGTCGCGGGGGTCCCATTGTATGGTACTGTTCTTGTATACTTGGTGCCCGTGCAGAACTTTTTAGTCTGACTACATTTTCTGCTAGTTGCAGCGCCGCTCTATGCTGACAGGCTTTCTGCTTCATCAGCTGCGCAATGAAAAAAACAAACAAATCCTCCCCCTCCTCCTCCTCCTCCTCCTCCTCCTCCTCCTCCTCCTCCTCCTCCTCCTCCTCTTCCTCCTCCTCGAGGTCGCGCGTTGGCACGGCGCGCGCTGGCGGAGCGCGGGGGATGGATCCCGCATATGGATTTCCTCCTCCTCCTCCTCCTCCTCCTCCTCCTTCTCCTCCTCCTCCTCCTCCTCCTCCTCCTCCTCCTCTCCTCCTCCCTCCTCCTCCTCCCCCCCCCTCCTCCACCTCATCCTCCTGCTCATTCTCCTCCTCCTCCTCCTCCTCCTCCTCCTCCTGTTTCCCCTGTTCCTCCTTCTCCTTCTCCTTCTCCTCCTCCCTGCTCCTCATCCATTCCTTTTCCTTATAAATAGCTTTTGCCTGTCGCAGACCGAAGCAAGTTTTTAGGGCGGGGCGGGCGTTTCGCCTGAGACTTCCTCACTGATGATTCTGAGGCTTGAAAACTGACAACAACTGCGCAGATGGAGTGCGGGTCGTTTTCAAAATGTGGCTTTCGCCTGAGCGTCACGCACATTCGTTGAACAAAATTGCAAGAGATTCACGGATTCAGGGCGAGTCGTTTTCAAAATGTGGTTCTCGCCTAAGCGCCGCGCACATTCATTCTAAAAATTGCAGAGGCTTCGCGGATTGAGGGCGGATCCTTTTCAAAGTGCGGTTCTCGCCTTAGCGCCGCGCACATTCATTCAAACAAATTGCAAGAGTTTCACGGGTTCCCATGATCAACGTACCAGAAATTGCGGTTTGGAAGGATTCAGGCTTATGAGGGTGCACGAGTTATGTTGGTTCGCGGTGTTCAAGCGCCAGGAATGGCGTCCTGGCAAGTATTCAGGACCGTGAAGACGCAACAGTCAGGTTCATTCGTGGCGTTGGAATTCCGAGAACAATATTTCGGCATGCTTCAGGGTCATCAGTCAACCAGTTGTCTTCCAACGAGGCAGCTCCCTCAATGAAATGAACCGTTGTAGGGGCCTATGAAGAGGGAGCTTGCAGGGAGGGTTCCAACACCGCTGATGCCACTTGGGTTTACACTGATTCTCCTCCTCCTCCTTCTCCTCCTCCTCCTCCTCCTCCTCCTCCTCCCCCTCCACCTCCTCCTCATCCTCCTCTTATGTGTCTTGTTCCTCTTCCTCCTGCTCCTCCTCCTCTTTCTCCTCCTCCTCCTCCTCCTCCTCCTTCTCCTCCTCCTCCTCTCATCACCATCACCCTCTTCACCCGAATCGGCATAAGCATCATCATCATCAGCATCATCAACATCAGCCATACGCCATCGTTATTGTCATCATCCTCCTTATCATCCCCACTATCACATCATCGCCAGCATCATCATCAGCACCACCATCATCATCATTACCATCATCATCACCATCATCATCATCACCATCAACATCCCTCCTCCTCCACCTCCTAAACCGTTGTGTCCACAGAACTTTTATGGTGATGAAGAGCCCAGTGCTTGTTCAAGCACGCTGTCAACATTTGCTCCCAAGCAGAGGCCTCTCGGGAGGCTCTCGGGAGGCTCTCAAGACGCTCTCTCACGAGCCTCGCTTGTGAGCGGGACCTCGTCTGTGAGTCAATCGCACGCACGTCTCGAGCGGGAGCCCCCCATTAGGGTTCCAAGGAAGGTGGTTGAATTCGAGCGGCTATCCGTATCGGCAGGATGCCTCACTTTAGAGGCCAGCTGCACATTCAGTTTCACCTTCAAGCTCAGCTTCATGTCTTCATCGTTATCGGCCGTGTCATCATCATCAACACCGTCATCATCTCACGAGTATCATCAGCATATCGTTATCGACATCGTCACCCTTTATCATCGTCATCCTCGGCAGCACCGCACCAGTTCTTTATCGAGCTTTCTCTGCGGTGGAGAAATCAAAGGACGCATGATCTCTTCAACATTCGATGGCCAGTAGTACCGGTGTTCCGGTATTTTGCGTGGGGCCAGGCTGCCCTGTTTTCGATGGCCCTCCCGGTCCCCAACCTTCTCTGTCTTCGAAGTCCTTCATTATGTTGGATTGTCTTGGCGAGTTTTGTTGTTCCCCGTTTGTTATTGTAGTTCCTCGGTGTTATGTCATGTCCAGTGATCTTCTGGAGTTGGCGCGCACCGCCGTCATATTCGCACTCCCCCTTGTGATGCGTAAAGATAAAGCGAGCGTCGTCACCATCACTGCATGAAGCTGCTGATGGTTGGGCCATCTGCCAGGCCAGTGTTGAATCCTCAGCCCCCCGCGACTCGCCGTTCTCCTTCCCGCCTCCCCCAGTCCCCCTCATCACCCTGCCTCTGCTCCCCGTCCGCATGCCCAGCTCAACGGTGAAGGCTTCAGGGGATCCTGCCACCCTACGCACCAAGCCGTCTCGGGTGGGCAGCGAGTCACGGCCGACGTGGTCTTCCCACCAAGCCTTCGTCTGTTTGTGGGGGGAGATGTCGTCTTTGTACAGTCTCCAGTCCCCCTCATGACCATGCCTCTGCTCCCCGTCCGTATGCCCCCACAGGCGGAGGAGGCGGAGGAGGAGGAGGGGGCGGGAGGAGGAGGAGGAGGAGAGGAGGAGGAGGAGGAGGAGGAGGAGAGGGAGGAGGAGGAGGAGGAGGAGG